GACCAGGCAGCTCAGGGGGGATCCACACAGGGGACCAGGCAGCTCAGGGGGGATCCACACAGGGGACCAGGCAGCTCAGGGGGGATCCACACAGGAGACCAGGCAGCTCAGGGGGTCTGCACAGGAGACCAGGCAGCTCAGGGGGTCCGCACAGGAGACCAGGCAGCTCAGGGGGTCCGCACAGGAGACCAGGCAGCTCAGGGGGTCCGCACAGGAGACCAGGCAGCTCAGGGGGGATCCGCACAGGGGACCAGGCAGCTCAGGGGGGTCCGCACAGGGGACAAATGTAGTAACAAGAAAGAGGAGCTGACACATAACAGATGCACGAACCACACACAGATTGTCGCAAACACAGGCCACAGGGTGCATGCGGTTCCCGGCACAGAGCACTCCAGGGCAAGCAAAACTGGTTTGGGGTGGGAGGCAGATTAGGGGTGACCTTGGCAGTGGGCTGTTGCCTGGGTGAGTCTGATGTGAGTGGTGGTCACCTGAGTATAGACGGGTGTCTGATTCACCGAGTGTGCACAAGTGGTGGTCACTTGAGTGTAGACAGAAGATTTGCACCCTCTGTTTCAGTTACAGCTGAATCATAAAAGGTTTAAAGCGAGAAGGGTAGAACCTCCACCCCTTTCCCCCAAATTGGTGCTGTTCATAATACTTTTGCTTTGGTGGATGCCTGTCCAGGTAACTTCTTAGAAATCACCTGAGAATAAAGAGGAAGGGACGGCCTGGCCCACAGATGAGCCTGATGCTGTGGGTGGGCTGCAGCCCAGGACCCCCACTGACCTCTGCTCTGTCCCTGCAGGGCTACGCCGCGGAGATGGATAACCCACTGATGGCTCACCTCCTGTCAACAGGCCTTCACAGCAAGAAGGATGTTTTGTTTGGAAACATGGAGGAAATCTATCACTTCCACAACAGGTGGGCCCTTCCCCTCGACACAGGCACGCACCCAGGATCTCTCGCGGCTAATGATGCTGGCTTCAGGGGGCTGGAACGGGGGGTGCGAGCCATGCCTGACTGGGAAGGGGCGCCCAAGGGGTGGACTCAGAGGCACAGGCATGAGTGTGGGTACATGGGGCTGTCTCTGAGTGCCCACGTGGCTCCGTGCCTGGTGGTTGCGCCCAGGCAGCCGAGTTGTAAGTGCGCCACCAGCCGTGAGGAGAGGGCTCTGAGCCCCCCGAGTGCACCATTTTGTGGTGCAGGAAATGGGACCTGCCCGCCCCTCATCCCCTCCTCATCCTGCTGGGCAAGTGGAAGCTGGAACCCCCTCCCAGGTGTGTATTCAGCCCTTTGGAGGTCACGAAGGCCACACCACATGGCAAGCCCTGTTTTGTTCCCAAGCTCTTGAAAAGGACGGCAAACTAGGCATTCCCTACTCGTCACGGGGGCTGCTTGTCCCCCGAGCGACCCGTGGCCTCTCCAGCGCGGGGGGGGGGGTGTCTGGCCCCTTGTTCTCCACTCCTCTGAGCTGTTTGGCTGCTTTAACAGTTGTGGAGAGCTCATGGGAAGGTGTAGGGTGGGCGTGCAGTGCGGAGTGCCAGGGAGGCTGCAGTGGACGGCCCCTGCTGCGTGTCCTGGAGGGAGCCCATGTGAGTGGCTCCCACGTGGCTATGTGCATGGGGACCAGCGTACCCCACTGACCATGGGAATCGCCAGTGCTTGGGACATGGTTCTGACACCTGCTTCTTGCCCCCTGCCGTGATCGTCACCTCACCTGCCACTTAGGAGGAGGCAGCAGGTCCGCAGTTGACCACCAAGAAGACTTCCACGTCCACGGAGATTGGGCAGAACCTCAGTGTCCCTTAGTATCTGTCCTCATGGCCCCCCGGGTCTCGGCCAGTCCTGCACACAGGGGTCCCCACAGCTTTAAGCTTAGTGTTCATGCCCCGAATCCGTCCCCCAGACGGTTTTCCCCTCTGGCTAGACTTCCTCCAGGGGACAGATGTAAGTCAGAAACGAAAGGGAAACAGCCCAGGAGCCTGGGGATCGTGCTGCCTAGGGCCAGGACTCAGGGTGTGTCTGCAGAGAACCCACAGACCCACGGCCAGTTATGGGGGCGGCGCCTCCAGGGCCCTGAAGGGTCCCATCTCTGTCTTTGCCTGTAGCCCTGTGAGCCACGTGTGTGCTGAGGGAAAAGCAGCTCTCTCCAACTTCTGTGTACAGCCAAGGCCAGAAATATAAGGAGACTCAGCCTGGGGCTGCACCTGCTGGCACCTGAGAGCTTGGTGCTCAGGACAGGCGTGGCTGCCACGTCCCCAAGTCGTGCAGGGCGTTGTTGCCACATACAGAGCAAGGCATAAAAGGCTTCTGAGAAATGATGTCTGTCCATTTGTCACCGGTGCCACGTGACTCGGCCTGTCTCTCTTACGACTTAAAAACCTTCCTTGTCTAGGATATTCCTCAGGGAGCTGGAAAACTACACCGACTGCCCAGAACTGGTTGGAAGATGCTTTCTGGAGAGGGTATGTGGTGCTTTGATGTATATTTTGTCACAGCTTCTCAAAATTACTGAATAATGACTTCAGATTCTACTGCAAGGTCCCATTCTAACCAACTGAAATCACAGAATGCAAATGTTTTCAATTTGGCTGAGATAAAATGATGCTCCTGTACCCCCAGAACCTCCTGAACCCCCAGAACCTGTACCCCAGAACCTCCTGTACCCCCAGAACCTCCTGTGCCCCCAGAACCTCCTGTGCACCCAGAACCTCATGAACCCCAGAACCCCCAGAACCTCCTGTGCCCCCAGAACCTCCTGTGCACCCAGAACCTCATGAACCCCAGAACCCCCAGAACCT